ATAGCACACGAAGTCCTTCGCCCGCCATCCGATCGGCCGTGTCTCGTATGGTTTGCTTTTCGGTTTCATCAATATTGAGGTGGGGAATAACGGTCTCTGGGGCACCTTTGGTGTACACTTCTTTGATTCTATCCCGTGAATTGTCATAGACAACGGTCATCTTCTTGATAGCAGAATCAAATGGATACTCTGTATGCAATCGGATTTGCCTTTTCTTCATCACGGTGTCTTTTCCAAACTCAAAGCGCAAAGCCAGAATATGGAGAGCAATTTCCGTCGGTTCACCCACAGCCCTCCATATTTGATTGTCATAGTGAACAGTGGAAAGGTTGCAGAGAGCAAGCGCTCGTAGGAAGGTATGCAGGGCAGGATTATCTTCGATAGGTTTGTTGGAGCTCCAGTCAATCTCATCTAGTTGGACCAGACCATTGGTTGGGTCAAATGGATCTGTAGTCTGGCTCACTGTCAAGGTCCCAGCAGCGGGGATCCATGCAGAGCGGGCTATCATCTTTCCCTGGGTCAAGGTCCCTGTCTTGTCAGAACATATGTTCGTGACGCCACCGACTGCCTCAAGACATTGGAGTTTTCGGACAATTACATTTCCCCTAGCCATTGCTTTTGTACCCACGGCTATTGTGATGGTGAGGACAGCAATCAACGATTCTGGGATGACGGCAACGGCAACACAGATGCCATATATGAGAACCTCACCCTGGACATCCCATTTATTGACCGAAAAGACAATAATGGCGAGCAGAATTGCCAGTGCGAAAAGCAAGAGTGCAAATTTGCTCAGCTTCACTTGCAACGGCGTACCAACCAAGCCCAGCACGTTCATGACAAATGCCTTCACCCGTTTCCCCGCCTTAACAAGACGGCTCGAGTCACCAAGATTGGGCTGTGTCTGTAGTAGTTGTGCAATCTTCCCAACTTCTGTATTCATCCCTATTGCGGTGACTATGCCCACTGCACGGCCTTGTGTAGTGCTGCAGCCAGAATAAGCCATGTTGGTTCGGTCACCGATAGGGATATCAGACAATGATAGGGTTATATGAGGGGTTTTGAGGACGGGGAGGGATTCTCCAGTTAGAAGTGCTTCATCCATTGAAGCATTCATGCCCTCAAATAAGCGCAGGTCGGCAGGGACAATATCTCCAACTGCTAGCTGGACTATGTCGCCGACAACCAGCGACTCCGCCTTGACAGAGGCAGTGCGACCCTCTCGGATGGCCTTGCATATTGGAGCGGAGAGACGGTGCAGCGACAGAATTGTCTGTTCGGCACGGTAGTCTTGCACGAAGCTGGAAGACAAGTCTTAGCCCAAGTGGTGTACAATGTTTGATTCCAAAATACTCACCCCACAACTATATTCAAAACAATCACAGCAGTAATGACACCTCCCTCAATGTAATCATCGATTCCGAAGGATAGGGCCATGGTGATCAGAAGGACCTTGGTTTTTTCAGCTATGCTCTTTTGGTGGCATTGATAGATCTCTGGGGGTTTTAACATACTAGTGTCAGACTGTTAGACACCTGTCTTAGCAGTATCCCCCAGATGGAGACACCCTCCATTTCACGCACGGTATTCGGACCGTCGCGCTGGAGGCGAGAGGCCGCTTCGGTGCCGGAGAGTCCATTTCTAAGGCGTGTGTTAATAGGGACGCCGGACTATATTGGGATACACCAAACACTGACGCACCTAAGATCTGTGTGGAGGAGGGATGCGAGCTCAGATGGTTCTATAAGATGGGCGTTCTGGCCGGGCCCTTCTTTACTTGCTTGGGGCTCCAAGGGCGTAGTGTGATCGGGCGCATACGAGATAGACTTTTTGTCCGTATCGCAGGGCTTAGGGCGGTTTGTCACATTGGATTGAGAATTGGTTTCCGTAAAAGGACATATAGGAGGCTCTGTCGATTCTTCGACATCGGGAGTTATCTCTACGCCCATTCAATA